TGAGCACACATAGTGGGACAGGACAGTAACAAAGCATTTTGCATATGCATTTTGCATTACAACATCATTGCCATTTAATCTTGAAATTAACATTTTTTTTATTCCCCCAAATTCTCATATGATAATATAAATTTAAAAAAAGACTCCCCTTTTTTTTTTGCCATTTGTGCAGCCAGAGGGGTTTGAAGTTTCTTGTGTGGTTTCCTCAGTTGTTTCATCCTGTACAAAATTGAATGTGTAGCAGTCAGAAGAGAAGAGGATCATGTTGTCTTTTGGTGCTCCAATGGGATTGGGTGACACTGTTGGGCTTTTGACCAACTTCATAAGGAATGGCCAGTAAGAAAATCATACTGTCTGACAGAAGTTAAATGCATGTGAGTGAATTTATTTTTCTTTTTTTTCTTTCATGTTTTCATTATGCATTCCTCCCCATTTGTACACTTTGCGTGGTGTTTACTTCAAATCAATGTTCTCTCAACTCCTGGCCTGTTTTGTTTGCCAAAATGTGTTAATTTCTCAAAGAGCATGGTCAGGGAAGATAATTGTTTTGTTAATGAAGTGTATATGTATGTATGTGTATGTGTATGTATATGTGTGTATATATATATATATATATATATATATATATATATATATATATATATATATATATATATATATATATATATATATATATATTATGGTGTGATTGAGAATGGTTTAAACTAGAGTGATGTCTGTTTTATTGTGAAAGGTTTGCAGTGACTAACTTCTTTAAGTGACTAACTAACTAAATTGTTTAAATAAGAAATTTCCTACCAACGCATCAGAACTCTGCAACTTTTAGCTGCTGTCTCTCCACATATATTTATTCACCTTTCAAGAGCCAGCAACATATTAGTTGTTAATTAGTAGCACCTCAAAATCTTTTCTTTCTTTTTTTTTTAATCAGCTACTGTTTTATTACAAATTTTTTAAAATACTGTTTTGCTCCTTGTTTCATATTTAGCCTGTGGATTTTTTTTTTTTTTTTTTTTTTACTGGTGTCATTTAAAGAGATGTCACCTTTATGTTTTAGTGTTAATTACATGGAAGTATTTTCATGTCAGCTTTTGGAGTTAATGTAGCATTTGCCCAGAGCTAATCTATTCTAACTGAACTGCAAATAAGATGGAGGGCTGAAGCCTGGTAAAGCCCTGTTTTTTGCACCAGCATAACAACAGTCTCATCGCTGTGGTTTAAACCTGACTGCCTGATGTTCTGGTTTTTCTTTTATTTCAGGGGAGGGGGGAGGTGTAGCCGTGTCAAGAGGTATTGTGTGACACGAGTGTGTATGAAAGTCTGGGAGTAAGGTAAAATCATACTGCAAAAACAATTATTTTTTCTTCATCTCATTCTTCTTAAATCGCCTTTTTCAATTCCACAGTTATATGCGATACTTCAAATTGAGTAATACAGAGTAAGAGTTGAAACTACAGTAGTGCCATTCAGGGTGAGTGAAGCAGGGCCAGGCTAGTTGTATTCCCTTCTCTCCTTTTCTGCTCTCTGTCCTATTTGTAAATGCTCATGTCACTGGTGCCATTTATGTTGTTTGTGTTTACAGTGTGCTGTTTTCTGATAAATGGGCCATTCTTAGTAATAGACAATCGCTGATTACATCATTTGTCTATATTGGATTGTGACCCTGTCATAGTAATTTTTTTTATTTTTTTTTGCTGATAATATTTTCATAACTACTTTTTTTATGAATTATTTTTTGAAAAGAAAACCTTGTATGCGGTTCCCATGTAGTGTTTTTAAAATGCTTTTTAAAATTGTGATTATAAACATGAATTGCAAGGTGTACTTCTAAATATCCTTTGGTACTTCCCAATTGAAAGAGGAGGAAGGACAAAAGGGAACTTGTGATCCAAGGATCCTGCTCTGTTTGACGGAGTCCACAAGCACAGTATTTCTCTCATAGAATAGACTGATTCAGCAATGGTTACATATACATTTTGAACAGTGTTAAATATTAAGTAGCATTTTATTAGTGTCAAGTATTCCTTCTCCCTACTTTGATGCAAAACAGTCAAATGATGCTAAACTGAATGGCATCCTGATAGCTGAGATGTTGGGAGATGGGTTGCAACTACCGTTAAGCCCTGGCACTTTCTTACAAAGAAAAATATTTTGTATGATTGTCAAAGAGCAGTAGTGTATTAAGTGTAAAACATGATGCAGAGATTTGTTTCATATGTACAACCAGTTCATTGTAATGTGCATTAATTTTGTACAAAGCATATTGTACTAAAAACATGCAGCTTCATGAAAAAAAGTTAAAGGAAAATCTTTTTGTATTTTTGATTATTTGTATTCCAAAAGGCATGTCCTATCTATTTTTCAGAATGTATTCATTTGCAAATGTATTAATGCAGATCTAACTTGTCATAATTTTTTTTCTTTTTTCATCTTGCTGTATCTTTGTATGTAGTTGGTACAATCAATGAACATTCTCCGCATGTAAACAGCCTGTTATATGAGAGTTGGGATTTTAATCGGTGCTTTTTTGCAGATGAATGTTTCAGGTTTGTTTTCTTTTTTTACTCCATCTTCGAAAGCCATATGGCTTGCGATTGTCCTTGAGCGGCATTGGGGAAACATTCTAGGTCTAAATGTAACTTCCTGAAACGTGTTAAGATTGTTCATACATTGGAAAAGAAGTCTTTGGAAAATTGCATGCCCTTTTATTTTAATGTTAGTTTATGTAAAAACATGTAAGATACTTGAGAATGGATGGTTGTATTTCATGTCTTTTTCTGCTACTTCATTTTACCATCAAATGGTGTGTAATATCAAGGAGACTTTATGAAAATGATTATGACTTGTATCAGTTTTGTGTGACTCTGTCAGCATAAATGGCATCTTGCTGATGCAATTTGATGCAACCTCACAGAAGTGAACTGAAAGCCTTAATGTTACTTGAGTTAGAGCAGGTTAAGGTTAATTCATATAAAAGGAGTTAAGATCAAATTGTTTCAAACTATGTTTTGTATATACAAGGAGTTTCAGTAGTTCAATCATGGAACCAGAAAATTGTGATTTCAAGGCCCAAAACAATCAAGGAAACGTCTATATTAAAATGCAAATGTGTACCTTGAACTCAAGTCATTTTGGATAAAAGCATCTGCCAAATGCATAAATGTAAATGCATTATGGTTACAATAGTTACCATAGGTTGTAACTACAGTGGTTCCAGCAAAAGTGGGTCAAAAAGTTTTATGATGGATTGCCTTCAGGAGTCAGGAACCAATCAAATTAATATTTATAACTCCTTTTCAAATGAGAATGTACAATGTAAATGAGCCACAGATTGGATTTTTAAATGATTGGATAGTTATGATGATCTGTTTTAAAGTTTTAAGAGCATACTATAACATTTTGAAAGGGTTGCTCTAAAAAATCATTTTCAGTCACTGCATTCGCTCCTGCATATGAAACAATTAACCTATCATCGCTTTGAACTAGACGAAATGATTAGCAACATAGGCACTATCTTCTCTAATATAGAAGTTGTTGCCCCCATCAAATTGAAAAAGGTTAGAGAAAAACGTACTGCGCCATGGTACAACAGTAATACCCATTCTCTCAAGAAAAAAACTCGTAGTCTTGAGCGCAAATGGAGAAAAACTAACTTGGAAGTTTTTAGAATTGCGTGGAAAA